GGAGGCGCGGCCCGAGCTCAGCGCTCAGCAGCCGCACTGGCGCCCGCGGCCGCAGCAGGAGCCTTCGCAGCGTACCCAGCGCTGCGCCCACGAGCCGCGCGTCGCCCTCTCCCAGAGCGCCCAGGAGCGCCGGCAGCAACGTGTTCACGTGTCTCACCTGCCGGAGCAGTGACTCGTGGGTGGGCCCTCGCAGACCCCGCCCCGGCCCCGCCCGCTCGCCGCGCCCCTCACCTTCCCGCGGTTCAGCGCCAGGTGGCCCAGGCCCAGCAGGCCAAGCCAGCGCACGGTGGGCTCGGGGTCGCCCTGCCAGGCGCGGAGCCGCTCCAGGATGTCCTCCTCCCACAGAAGCCGCGTTGTGGGCCGGCTCTGCAGCAGCTGGGCGGGGGAGACGGGTCAGCACACTCTCCGTGCGGTGGCACCGCTTAGCGAACGAGTCCATGGGTAGCCCTCACCAACCGTCCTGGATCGCCAGACCAGGCGGGCAAGCAGGCTCACCTCGGTGAAGAAGGCCATTGCCGTGAGGCGCTGCGTGTCGTCGGCGCTGCGCAGCCGGGGAAGTAAGTCGGCGAAGAGGCCTCGCAGGCGGTGGTCGGCGTGAGCCACCATGGCGCTGGGGAGGGGCAGAAATGGGAGGTCTTCCTCCGCTTGGGGCATCACCCCTGAGAAGCCCCCACTGGACCACCTCAGGTCCCTGTTTCCCCCACCCCGCACCTGGCCGGCAGTCATCCTCCTCCTGGCTCGTAGCCCCGGGTTCCTTCTCACCTGGCCAGTAGCAGGACGCCCTCCAGGTGTGTGTGGGCTCCCACCAGCCTCCTCCAGCCTCCCGCCTGCTCCATGCACGTGACCACCATGCGGCCGCCGTCGCCAATGAGCAGGGCCTTCAAGGCCTCCACTGCGCAGCTGGAGGTGGAGGCCGCGGGCGGTGAGGGCAGGCAGAGTCTGGCCCCCGCTGCTCCCCTACCTCCAGTGCCTGCCCTCACCTAGCGTGACTGTCCGGCGGTCCTCTGTGGGACGGGGCCCAAACCTTGGGGGTGTCAGGGGAGCCCGCGCTGCGGGCCAGCTCGTGCAGCTGTGTGACCAGCGCGAGCAGCAGGTGCGGGTAGAAGCCCCGCGTGGCACCCACGCAGCCCGACACGTCCAGCATCTCCCTGAGGGCGCGCGTGGCCTGAGGAGCAAGTGACCCGCTCAAGCCTAGGGCGTGCCTGAGGCCGCGTCGGACACCAGAGGGGCGGGCGCGCCGCAGACAGGACGGAGACCAAGCCTCGGACAGGCGCGGGACATTCCGGACTCGCGGAACGCCCCCCACGAATCTGCGGCCCCGCCCCCTCGCTGCCGGGCCGCTCGCCCTGGTGGTGCTGGCAGGAGCCACCTACCGCCAGCGCTTGCTGCTCTGGCCCCGCTGCGCCCTTCAGTGTCCATAGCAGCTGCACCAGCACCTGCCCGTTCACGCGCTGGTTCCGGCTCAGGCTGCGCCACAGTTCGGCGGCCTCCCTGGGGTGCAGGGGCGGCGTTGAGACAAGGGCCCGGGGGGAAGGGATGGGGTGGGGAAGGGGGTTAGGGTGGAGGTTCGCTAGGACTCCAGCAGAGGAGAAGCAGGTAATTCACCCCCTCCCCCGCCCACAGAACTCCAGAAAAATGAAATACGTGGTAACTGAGCCCACCACACCGAGCCGGTCCGCTGGGAGTGCTGTGGGGCCAGCGACTGTAAACAACCTGGGATTATAAAAAATCACCCTCGAGAACAAAACCGAAGACATTTTTCCTGGGGCGAATTAACGAAAGCAGCAGGGGTATCGGGCGCAGATGCCCAACCAGTTCGCCCACCCCGCCCTGGGGCGCACCCCAGCCTGGTCTCCAGGAGCCACTGACAGGGAAGGAGGGTCCCCAACCCAGGAACACTGGCCGATGGCCGGAGGTGGGGGGAGTAGATGGGGTGGGAAGGGAGGAGAGGGAATCGGAGCTTCTGCCCCCTCCACCTCTCCCGTAGGGGACCAGACTGGGTAGCCAAGCGGTAAAGAGGAAGGAAGCCGCGTGGGGCCCGTGCTAACGACGGCCGGGTGGTGGGTTACCCGTCCAGGGGCAGCGAGCGCGGCAGGAGCGCGCACACGACGTCCCGCGCGTGCTCCAGGGCCAGCGCGCTCAGCACCCGCAGAGCTGCCTGCCGGGGCCGCCCCTCGGCTAGACTAGGCACCTGAGCCAGCAGCCCGCGCACCAGAACGTGCACCTAGGGTGGAGGAGGACAAGGAGCGGTTGGCTGGCTGGCCATGACCCCCAGACGTTACCCTGTCGCCAGCAGCCACCCTCAGCCTGCAAGAGCCGGAAGGGGGCGGGTCAGACTTCTCGCTCCAACCCCAACCCTTAGAAGGGGAAGGCAGGAGGCTAAAGGGAAGGGAAGGGGGAGGGACCCCGCGGAAAAGGGAAGGTCCAAGGTGGGAAGGGGCCGGGCTAACCTTGTCCTCCAGCCTCTCCCCCCGGGCCTCCAGGGTTGAGGACAGGGTGAGCGCTGTCGCCTGCGTCCCAGCAAAGCCAGCCTCCTCCAGGCAGACAGCCGTGTACAATGCCAGGTCTGCTAGGACCCCCTCCTCCCAGGGACTCCGGGGGGCCTAGGACAGGGGCGGGTGGGGTGTGTGAAGTCCCCAAGGCTCTCCCAGCTCTGCTCCCCAGCCCCACCCGCGCCCTCCCCAGCCCCTCACCTGCCAGTAGGGTCCCAACCCCTCCACTGCTCCCCAGCCCAGCTTACATCCCCACCCCCCACTTTTCCCTCTCTCCTGCTCCAGCACCTTCCGGAGACTGAAGGAGCCTGGGAGGAGCCGTGGGCCCCAAGGCTGGTCTCCAGCCTCCTGTCCTCCTCTTACCTGGTTGGCCCCCTTAGGGGGAGGCTCCTGGGCATTGGGTGGGGAGCAGGGCTCACTGCCAGCCGTGGGGACAGTGGCCGCACTCCAGGGCTCAGCCTCAGAGGCCAGGGCAGGAACCTGGGCCTCGGGTTCAAGCTCCTGGGGCTCGGTCTGGGGGCCCCGGGAAGGAGCTGCCAGTGGCCACCCCTGGCTGGCCCGGAGGCCTTCTGCCAGAGCTGTCAGGGTCAGTGCCCCCACGGGGCCCCGTCGGGCCCGGCCCCACACACCCCAAGCCATGGCTGGCCCCACACCGAGCTGCTCAGCAGGGCCTGGCTGGCAGCACCTGCCAGTACTCCTCCTGGGAAGTCCTGCCCCGGCCTGACCTAGAAGCAGGGCCCCGGGCGGGACCAGAGGACAGGCGTGGTGGCGCCTGCGTGCATGAGCACTGTGTGCGTGGGGGGCTGGGGTGCCACGCAGGGATGCCCCCAGGCGTGGTGCCCGCTGCAGGAGGTGGCTTGAGAAGGGCCTTCTTGCCCAGGATGCTGGGGACAAGATCTTGGGGTCTGGGGGAGGGGTGAGGTCTCAGGTGGGGAGGCTCTGCAACAGGAAGAAAGGCCCCTGACCCTGACCCCAGCAGATGCGGACAGCCCCAGGAGGTCCCAGCAGGGGCCATAAGGCTTGGCCCAGTTCTGCGCCAGCCTTGCCTGACTCAGCCCTAAAGTAGCCAGCGGGCCAGGACAGGCCCATCCAGCATCCTGGGGATAATCCACGCAGCTTGCTCAGGCAGCCCTGGGGTGGGACAAGTGAGGCAAGATGGAGCTGTGGCTGCAGCTCCTGGGTGGCGCCATTGTCGGGCCAGGCCCTCATGGGTCCTAGACAGCTCTGTGGTGGCCCCCCGATCCTAACTGGTCCTAGACAGCCGTGTGGTGGTGCCCCCCCCACCCCCCATCCTGGTGGGTCCTAGAGGCCCTGTGGTGATGCCCCCATCCTGGCTGGGCCACAGTGTTCCTGGGTCCTGGCACTGAGGAAGGTGCATCTGGACTGGTGGTCTTCTTGTGGGGCCGTGTGTGTTCTGCCCAGTATGTGTGTCTGCCACCCTGTCCATGTCCCTTACTTCCCACGGGGCTGGCCCAATGAGGCCCCTGCCCAAAATCCTACCCTCCTCCTCCACCCACCACCACAGTGGGCGCTGCCCAGCCCGGAGCCCCAGGGGAGCCGGCTGAGCCAGTTGGGCAGAATACCTGGGCAGACGGAAGTGTTCCTGGAAGCTCTCCCCAACACTCAGAACCCCCACGCCCATGCCTTGCCTGCGTGGACAGGAGGGCCAGGCTCCCACCTTCCACTTCCTGCTGAGCCCAGAACCTCCCCGCTGAGCAATCCTAGGAACTCAAATCGCCAAAGCAGGCAGAGACCTGGGGTCAACTTGCCCACACAGAGGGGGCAGTCCAGGGCCACCACCTGAGCACCTCCTGGGCCCAGGGTTGCTGGGTCAGGAGCTGGGTCCCTGCACAACAGGGTATGTACCTGCTGTTGCAGGGGCAAAGTCCCCCAGGGCCTGGAGGCGGTGGGAGACAGAGGATGGGAGCCCCCAATGGCGGGGTGGTGAGGGGCTGGCAGCAGCAGGGGCAGGGCACATCTGGGCTTCTCCTTGCCTTAGAAAGCCTGGCATATCCCCACTGACCCCAGCCCAGGGGACAGAGCCGTAGGCAGATGTGGGAGCCCAGGACTGTGCTCGGACCCCCCAGCCTCTCTCTCTGGCACCCCCAGCCCTGCTCTGATATTCTTCCGTGGGACTCTCTGGCCTTTCAGTGGGCACCAGAACCTCCCTCTGCCGTGGCCCTGCCTCCCACAGCACCCCCCCACCCCCACGCCCCGCACACCCTGGGCTCCCGAGGCAGGCACGCACCCTGCCTCGGACCTCCGCACAGAGCCTGGCGGGCACTGGAATTCCCCGGGGGGGGGGGGTGAGCCCCGAGGGCCCTGGGGGGTGGACAAATGACTCAGACACACGGTGCAAGGCTGTGAGTGACTCGTATTGTGCTCAGGCTCCCCCAGCCCACAGGATTCTCACGGTGGGCCTCCAGCCCTCATCCTGTCCACCAGGGCCTGCAGCTGCTCAGACAGCGCTACCTGCAGGGGAAGAGGAGGATCGGATGGATGGGCCGGCCGCCAGCTGAGGCTGTTCAGGCCAGCGGAACAAGATCCCTCACCCACCTGGTACAGCTCAGGGCTCTCCAGCCACTTGTGGGCAGGGCTGAGGCGGCTCAGGGACAGCTGGGCAAAGGCTCTAGATTCGGCCAGAGATGGGAGGGGCTCACACAGCTGGAAGAAGGGCGGGGGGAGGGGCTCAGAAGCTGGAGGAAGAGGGGGAGGAAGGACGAAGGGCTCAGAGGCTGGAGCAAGAGGGAGGGGGAGAGGCGCAGAGGCTGGCTCAGGCCCAGGGCTAGGGTTCGGGTTGAAGGTGCAGACGGAAGGGGTTAGAGTGGCCACCTGTCCCTGCTGGACCCAGAGCTGCAGCAATGACTCCACATGGGCTGGCCTCACGGCCCGAGGCTTCTGGGCCCCCCGTGGCCACACCCTCAGTTCCTGCCCAGCCTGGGGCGGCAGCTCCTCAGCCAGCTGCAGCAAGTCCAACAGCAGAGACCCTATGGGGGGCTAAGAATGAAGTGGGGGGCTGGGACCTCGAGGGGGGCACCAGAGGGGTGGGAGGGCCTCACCGTCGGAGTCCAGGAGCCGGAAGGCGGCCTTGCTCCCCGGCAGTGTCTGCTTCTCGGTATCCTCCGTCAGCTTCATCCGGGGCTGGCCACCCACAGCCACCAGCTGGGGGGGAGAGGGCATTGGGTGGCTGGATCCTCGCTGCCCCCATGGTCACCCAGGTCCGCCCCCACCTGCACCCCAGACCCTGGCCCCACCTTGTAGACGCAGCCCAGGGCAGGCTGCCGGGGGCAGGTGACCAGGCTGGTGCCAATACCAATGACATCCACCTCGCTGCCCTGTGGTGGGGGAACAGGTGGCACCAGCTCAGCCAGAATCTGGCAGGGGCCCTGGGCCCCTCGCAGCCACCCTCTAGCCTGCACCCCCCTCCCCGCCACCTCCTGGGCGAGCCGAGCCAGCTGCTCCTCATCTATGTTGTTGCTGACAGCGATGGGCAGCGACTCCAGCCAGGGCACCTGGAACCTGTGATGGGGGTTGGGTGGGGCCTCTGGGCTGAGCCCTGATGGGGCAGCCCCTCAGCTGTTCCTGACTCACCCCTCCCTCCCCCACAGCCACACTCTTCCCCTAGGCACTCAGAGCCCCTGGGTGACCCCTGCCTGAGCCACCCTCTGATCACCCCTCCCCACCAGGTCCCGAAAGCCAGGAGAGAGGAACAGCCCCTCCCCCTCATGCCGATGCCCAGCTCCCGTCAGGAGGCCCGTTCCAGGCACTCACTGGGCTGCGGCTGTCCGGAAGACCCCGCGGACCTCCCGGGCCTGCTGAAGCAGATCGCCACTGTCCAGCCGCACGCCCACTGCCTGGTAGCCCAGCTCCCCCAGGGCCAGGGCAACGGCCAGGAAGTTGGGGAGACCGCTCCTGCAGACAGGTCAGGGGTGAGGGGCTGCAGCCTGCTGTGCTGAGCCCACCCTGGGCAGCAGGCCTCACCTCCGCATGCTGTAGGAGTCCAGCAGGCCCTGGAAGGCCCGGGGGAAGGCCAGGGCATAGGCCACAAAGGCCACCCGCTCCCCCCGGTGCGGTTCCTGCACCCCTAGCCCCAGGTGGGCACACACAGCCTCCAGCCACACCTCCACACGGCCGGCCAGGTCCACTCGTGGGCCCTCACCGGCCGCAGGAGCCAGCATCTGTTGAAAGGGGTTGTGAGATCTGGGGGGCCAGGTTCACCTGGAGTTGAGGGTCTGGGCAGGGGTAACGCGCGATGGGGACAGGGCTCGGTCAGCCTGGGTGTACAGCTGGGCCGGCCCTCCCTGCTCTGGAGCAAGGGCTCCCCTCGGATCTGCTGTTTGGTTCCGGGTGGGGGAGGGAAGGGGTCACTGACCGGGTCAGGAGGCACCTCAGTGCCCGAAAACGAAGTGACGAAGGAGTGCGCCAGCGTCCCGGCCACAGGCACGCCCCGGAGCTGGCCCGCCAGCACGTTGCTGCTGCTGTCGAAGCCTGGGCAGGGGGATCAGGCGGGTTGGGAGGCTTCAGGCGGAGGGGAGAGGGTCCCGGGGATGGAGCCTCCTCCTTCCACAGCCTGCCTTCCTCCCCGGCCCTCACCGCCAAGGTAGCTGTAGGTGGAGGCCGTGAGCCCCCCGTCGGGGCCCTGGGCGCGCCGCAGCCCCATCTCCAGCAGCCTCTTCTCTGGCCCCGCGATCAGGCGAAGCCGTGCCGCGTTGGTGGCAACGAGGCTGCGGGGAGCAAGGGTACACGGGACCCGGGGTGAGGCTCACGAAGCCACCCAAGCCACTTGAGTTACCCTGGCATCTGTAGTTCCACCAGAGTCCTGCGCCTCTGCCAGGCCCCGATTGGGGGCTGTTGCCTCGCCCCCAGGGCTCACACGCGCAGGGGTCTTGAGCCCCAGGTCTAGCGCTCCACCCCACCAGCGCGAAGTCCCGCCTCCCAGGCTCCACCCCTCGGGGCGCGGAACTCCGCCCCCAGAACCACACCCTCAAGGATCCGCCCTTTCCGAGCCCAGTCCCCAGGTCCGCGTCCGCCTAACGGAGAGATCCCTCCCCGGTCCCGGTCCCGGTCCCGGTCCCCACCTGGCGTAGCTGACCAAGCAGAGCAGCGGCGTTTCCAGCAGCTGCACCACCAGGAGGGGCCCGGACACCTGCAGCAGCGGCACCTACCGGGAGCGCTGTCAGCTACGGACTGGCCCCCCCGCGGCGCGCCCCACTCGGCCCACCCCCACTGCCCTGGCCCCCACTCACGCCCGGGAAGGCGAGGGAGCCCTCGGGCAGGGCCCGCACGGTCACCCCGGAGCAGTCCAGGGCCCGCAGGTGCGCGAAGAACGCGGGCTCCGTGTCCGGAGGCAGCACCGAGGCCAGGAACTGCACGTCTAGGGGCGACAGAGGCACTCGTGGGGCGGGGCTGGTGCGGCCCTGGGCTGGCTTGTCGCGGGGCTGGGACGGAGGCTACCTGCGTCCCGCAGGCGGAAGGCGCGCAGGAAGCGCACGCAGTCGCGGAGCCCCGCGGCCAGGGCGAAGGCGCCGCCGAACGGGCAGCAGCGGAAGAAGAGCTCGAACTCGGCGACGTCCTGAGCCCGGCCCGCGCGCCAGTAGCCCAGCGCCATGGTGGCCTGGTAGAGATCGGTGAGCAGCGGCCGTGCCGCTGCGAGGCCCTCGGGGTCGATGTCCCGCTCTGCGCCCGGCGCCGCCGCCATCCCGCTCCGGGGCCTGTGGACTCTGACCGGTCCCGCCCGCCCCGCGTGACGCGCCCCGGCCAGTGGCTGCGCTCCCAGGGCCACCTCCGCCCCGCCCACCGCGGCTGGAGCTCTAAGTTGTCCCGGGCCCCAGCCCGCCCGCGCGGCTGCTCGGGTTTCGCGGGTGATCTGCGAAGGATAGGGGCTGAGCCGTCGCACCTGAGCCAGCTCGTAATGCAAGGTTTGGGGTTGGACTCAAAGTGCAGGAGGGTGGGGACACCTGGGGAGCGACTCCCATTCCCTGCACTAAAAGGGGTCCAGGCGGTGGAGGGCGTGCTTTCGCTAGTCTCCAACTTCACCCAGGACCCTAGGTCTCCCGGGGCACAGCGTGTTCCAGCTGCAAGGGCCCTCCTCCCAGCCTATGTCCCCACCTCTGGCATAGGGGGGCAGTGGCAGCTCTACAGAGGGACCAGTCTTCGTCGTGCCTGCCCAGAAGCTGTGCTGGCCCGCTCCCGCCCACCATTCAGGAATGGGCACAACGCCAGGGAAGGCGAGGGGGCTATTGGCCTGCCCCCACCTGGTATCCGGAAGGCTTTCTGGTGCTGCCAGCCTCGGTCTTGCTGGCCTTGACCTGAAGGGGCTGCCAGGGCAGCGGCTCCTGCACCCCCAAACCCCTAGAAAGTTCTCCAAAACTCCTCGAGAGCAGCCTCAGGGCCCCGCTGCTGAGGGCGGGCAGTATGTTCCCTTTCACCCAAACACCAGGGTTGGCTGGGGTGGGGAGGGGGAGGAGTGGCAAGCAGGCCCTTGGGGCACAACTCCAGAGAGCACTGCTATACACTCTGGTCACCCCAGAACGTCTAAGGGTGAAGGGGCAGACCTGGCTGGCTCCCCAAGAGGGTGAAGCACTGGTCCCCATGTAGACCAGTGCCTGGGGCTGGGAGGGCAGAGGCGGCCCCTGAAGACTCAAAGGGGAGGGGAGGAAGGAGGGACAGCCGAGGCCTCTAGGACTAAAGGACATGCAGACTTCGGGAACAGGGGGGAACAGGGAGGTCAGCACCAGTCAGACCTGGGGTTCAAAAGGTCACCCGCTGGGCTCGCCCATGGCCCAGGAGGGGCTTCCCGGACAGGAGGCCGAGCAGAGACATGGGGGAGGTGTGGCTGTGTCTTCAGCTAAGGAGCCTCAGGTACATCTTTTTCCGGCTCACACAGTGTGAACACGGGCAGGGAACGAGGGCGGCACTGAGGGGCAGAAGCTGCAGGAGGGAGCACCAGGAGATGTCTCCTGTGCCTTGGCCAAGACAGGAGGGCACCGCCCAGAACGCAGGGGCCGGGCCAGTGTGGGGACAGGGCCAGTGTGGGCCCGTGCCTGCCCACCTACCCGCCCGAGCACGGCCCACCCGGCCTGCAGAGCTCCCGCCCGCCAGGCACCGCCCACGGAGCCCTCGGGAACACCAGGACAGGAGTCAGAGTGCTGGACTCGGTCTTTAATTGGCTGCAGGCTCGCACACGCACACACAGGCACTGGGCTCAGATCTTGTTGAAAGCAGCAATGTCGACACTCTGCACCTGAGGGAGGAGGAGGAAGGCCATCAGCAGGCGGGACTTCCCACAAGCCCCGCCCACTCCCGTTGGCTCCAGGAACCTTGGGGTTGGTGGGGCTCCCCGCAGAGTGCTCCTTCCCTGCCGCCCGGCCACTCACGTGCTCCTGGAACTTGGTGACCTCCTCCTCCAGCAGGTCGGTGCCCACCTTGTCATCCTCCACCACGCACTGGATCTGCAGCTTATGGATGCCGTAGCCCACTGGCACCAGCTTGGAGCCCCCCCAGGTCAGCCCGTCCAGCTGGATGGAGCGCACGCAGGCCTCCAGCCGCGCCATGTCTGTCTCATCGTCCCACTATGGGCGAAAGGCAGGAAGGCCCTGAGCTCGGCTACCCTCCCCCCTGGGGTGGTGTGTCAACAGTGGCGCCCGCCCTTCTCAGGGGCCTCAGCACACCATCCCGGCCGGAGGAGGGCGGCGAGGAGGAGGGGGCTGGAAGCTGAGCCAGCCCCCCACCCAGCCGCTGGGTGCACTCACGGGCTTGACGTCCAGGAGGATGGAGGACTTGGCCACCAGCGCGGGCTTCTTGGCTTTCTTCTCGGTGTACTGCCGCAGCCGCTCCTCCCGCAGGCGGGCTGCCTCCTTGTCCTCCTCCTCGTCGCTGCCAAACAGGTCGATGTCATTGTCCTCGTCGTCCTCCGCGGGCGTGGCCACCTTCTGGGCCGGGGGCTCCACTTGGCGCATGGGAGACACGTGCTGCCGGGAGGGAGGGAGGCTAAGGCCCCAGGCCAGGCTGGAGCCCGCAGTGCAGCCAAGGGGACCGCCTCCACCCCGCCCCACGCAGGGCGTGCCCCTCACTGCTGCCTGGCCTGGGCCAACCCCCTGCTCACACTGCAGGTGCTAAGCTCGGGGAGGGTGGGGGCGTGGGGAACAGCAGGCGCTCTGCCCCTCTGAGAGGCGGGCCACGGGGGTCTCTGGTCTGTGGGCCTGCAGGCCATCTGCATGCTCACTTGGGTCTGCGGGGCGGTGGCCCGGTGGGTGGGCGAGCTCCTCTCCAGCGTGCTCAGCCTGGCCTCCAGCTTGGAGAAGGCTTGCTGCAGGTCCTGCACCACTGTGGGGTCGGGCAGGTGGTGGCCAGGGAGGGGACGGCGTCATGGTCAGATGGCCGCCCAGGGAGGGGAGGAGATCATGGTCAGATGGCGGCCGGGGGAGGGGAGGGGGTTGGTCAGAGGGTGGTCCGGGGAGGGGAGGGGAGGGGGTCGTGGTCATATGGTGGCCTGCGGAGGGGAGGGGCCCTACTCAGATGGTGGTGCAGGAATGGGGGACAGGAGTGGTGAGGAGGGGGCCTCCCACCAGGCTGGCCCTCACCTCTGCGCAGGCTCTGGTTCTCCACCTCCAGGCTGGCCATGCGCATGATGAGCTCACTGTGGTCCCCGCCGGGCCCGCTGGAGGCCCCAGAGCTCTGCAAGGCAGGGGGCAGTGAGGGCCCGAGCCCTGTCTGCTGATAACCCCCACAGCCACTGGCTCGGGGCAGAGCCTTAGGCTGGGCACACGGCTCCTGTCAGGACACCCAGCAGTGCCAGACCAGGGCGAGGGGGGCCGAAGCCCTGCTGATACAGCCCACCCGCCCTCAACACCGGGCGAAGACCTGGCTACATCGGCTGGCCGTGGAGGGCCGCCATGGGACCGTGGTGACAGACAGGAGGCAGACAGCCCAAGGGCAGCTCAAGCACGCAGCTGGGCCCCGACCGCCATTTGGCCCTGTCAGGCGCTAGGTGAAAGGAGGACTTACAGTCCCTTGGGCGGCCTGGCTCGGGGCCTCAGGGGGACTGGGCAGCACCGCCTGGAGCTGGAAACGGGAGGGAGAGCTGTTGAGGCCGGGCAGCAGGAGCTGTCCACGCACCCTCACACACGGCCCAGCGGGTGTTCACCCTCGCACGCGGCCCACCCCTGGCTGTTCACCCTCGCACATGGGGCCCCATCAGGTGCTCAGCAAGCTATGCCTGCCAAGGCCCCAGCCCCATTCCTGACTAGGAGCCCCTGTCCCGTTACACCCCAGGAACCCTGCAGGATTTGAGGTTTGTGACCTCCTGTCCCCAGATTCCACCTGGTCCTCAGTGAGGGGCACAGGGGCACAAGTGGGGTGGGTCAGCACAGCACACCCCACACTGAGGTGGCTCTGAGAACCGGGGGTCCAGGCCCAGGACCGAGTTGGCCCCCAACATATCTAGTAAAGACCCTGGGCCAGGCCTGCCCCTCTACCCTACCCTACCCTTCCCACAGGCAGCCAGGACCACCTTGCCGTCTCTACATAGATCAAGCTTCCAGGACCTTCCACTGTCTAAAAGGAAACTATAAGGAGCCTCACCTCTGCGTCCTCCCTCCACCCTGCCTGCACAGCGAGGCTCAGCGTGTGGAGGTCCGCCTGGGGAGAGGCAGGCAGGGCCCCAGCACACGGCAGGCCCAAGGGCTCACTGCCTCCAGACCTCCTGTCCTTGGCTCAGTGCTTCCCCTAACCAGGGCCTGAGCACAGCAGGATGGGCACCTGGGACACTAACCCACCTGACCCTGGGCTCCCCGAGCAGCTTAGAAGACACAGAGAGGGTCCCATTGGAAGAGGAGCTGGGGCAGGTGGGCGGGGACAGACTCACTCCTGGACATACCAGGGCCAGCAGGAAGGACAGGGCCCAGGGACCCAGCAGGGCTGGGAGGCCTCAGGCCATACAACATGCTGGGCCAATCAGGTGTTTTCCACTTTCTGCCCCCAGGAGAATCCCAGGAGCCCCAGGCTGGTACTGACGGCCCCCTTGCTTGCCCACAGGCCTTCCCCCAAGGTTGATGCACTGAAGTCTGCCCCGCTGCTCAGAAGGACCCAGACGGGGACCAGGAAGCCAGGGAAGTCCAAGGTCCCCAGCTCAGAGAGGCGGGCAACACGGTCCAGCCAAGCCCGTGAGTACTGGCTGCAGAGAGCCACCTGGTGGTCTCAGAAGGAAGTGCTCACACAAAGTCCAGCTGCCTCACCCCACTCCACCCACACCCCACAGTCCCCAGGACCCCTGGGTTCTGATGTCCCAGTTGTCTGCTGAGTTCTGTTGCCACCTGATCCAGCCTGGCTTGGGCCAGCAAGGTCCTTTCTTGGTCCCCAAGCCCTAGAGCAAGCCCACCTGCCTGTCCCAAAGACCAGGACCCAGCAGCAGACCCCAAAGCGGCCAGGGCCTCTGCCCCAGGTGGAAATGGGAGCCAGAGGAGGAACCTGCAGCACACCCCAGACCAGCTGTGGTCAGCAGGGTAACGGCCCCCAGAGACGGCCACACCCTGATCCCTGGATCCGTTGAATACGTATGTTCACATGGCAAAAGGGATCTTGATGTGGGGCAATTCTGATCACGCAGGTGGCCCAACATGATCCAAAGGTTCGTATAAGAGGGGCCAGGAGGGTCAGAGAAGGAGATATGACGACGGAAGCAGATCCAAGGAGACAGACTGGAAGATGTTCTGCTTCTGGCTTTGAAGATGGAGGAGGGAGCCACAAGCCAAGGAATGCAGATGGCCTCTAGAAGCTGGAGAAAGTCAGGAGACGGAGTCTCCCCTAGAGCCTCCAGGAAGAAACGTGGCCCTGCCAACACTGTGATTTTAGCCTGGGAAACCCAACCAAACTTCTGTCCAAACCGTGTTGTTGATAAACTTCTGTTGCTCATGGTAATTTTTTATGGCAGCTGTAGGAAAACACATACACATTCTGGTACTGGCAGTGGGTGCTACTGTACAAAATGCCTAAGAAAGTGGAAGGTGCTTGGGAATTGGGCAATAGGCAGAGACTGAAAGAATTTTGAGGAGCATGCTAGAAAAGCCCAGATTGCCTTGAACAGACTGTTGGTAAAAACAAAGATGTTAACAATGACCAGTGAGAAGCATTTGGGGATTAACATCGTGTTAGAGAACATCTGAACCATTACGAACAGACAGTCTGCTGGTAGAAACGTGAATATCAAAGGCACCGCTGGTGAGGGCTCAAAAGAGGCCCGTGTCACAGAAACTGCCAGAAAGCTGAGCAGAACGGGGTCCTGCAGTTACGTGCAAAGCAGAACTTGTAGCCACATGCTCGAATATTGAGCTGCGATTTCCGAGCTAAGCATAGAACACGCAGCCTGGCTGTTTCTTGCTGCTTATGATAAAGTGCAAGAGAAGAGACTGTGGGGAGAATAGTCAGGCAAACAGGGGACAGGGCTCAGGGCTTCGGGTTATTCTCAGTCTGCCCATATCGCCAAAGACACTGATTCAATCAGGAAAGCAAGCTCTGGACAGAGAGCTAAGGGCGTGGCTGGGAAGGACCAAAAGGTCAGCGCGAGCAGGCTCTTTGAGAAATCAGGCATGTGACTCGGTGACCCCTCAGTCATCACAGCAGAAGCAGGAATAGAGATGGGAGGTCCAGGGAGATCCATGGAGGAGCCTCTGGTCTAATGGCACGGATGCCAGTGACATACACAGGAGATCCACCAGGTTCTTGAGAACGTTATACCAGCAGAAACCCTGCCAGCTTGGACCAAAAGGGACAGAGCACAAAATGAAAGAAGGGTGATGGATCCCCCAAATTCTAGAGTCAAGAAACAGCCTGACAAAATCGCTTGGCAGCAAACACATGCAACCTCCCATGAAAACATGGCCCTGAGGGCGGAACCTTGAGCCACAGTCGGTTCCGTGAAATCTAATGGGTTTGCCCGGCTATACTTTGAAATTTCTTAGGACTGGTTACATTTTTCCTTCCATTTTATCCTTTTTGGAATGGGAGTGTCTGTAGTTGTCTTCCTATGCCTGCCTCATTGTATTTTAGAAGCAGATAACTTGGTTACTAGCTTCACAAGTCCCCAGAAGGACCATACCCAGAGCTTCACTCACGCACAATTTAGATGAAATTTGACTTTGAGTTGATGCTGGAATGGGCCGAGACTTCGGGATGAGGTGACTGCATTTTTCACATGGGATGGGCATGAATCTTTGCAGGCCAGACTATGGTAGACAGAATAACGGCCCCCGAAGATGTCCATGTCCTAGACCCTAGATGGCAAGAGGGGCTTTGCAGATACCAAGTTACGGATTTTGTGATGGGGAGATCGTCCTGGGTTGTGTGGATGGGCCCAAAGTAAGCACAAGGGTTCTCGTAAGTCAAAGAGAGAAGCAGGAGAGTCAGAAGTAATGTGGAAGCACAGTGTTGGGGCCACAAGCCAAGGAATGTGGGCAGCCTTGAAATCTGACAATGGGAACGGCATGGATTCTTCCCTGGAGCCTCCAGAACAACAGACTGCAGGCCCACTTTGGGCTCCTGACCTTCTGAACTGGAGGATACGTTTGCAGTGCTCTTAACACTGAAAACTTGTCATGATTTGTTACCGCAGCAACTGAAAACTCATACACTGGCTGCCAAGGGATCTGGAGGAGAGACGGCAAGGTGGGGGTCTGTGTGCTTCCCAACGACACACCTTCCTGCCCAGCCCCATCACCAGGCAGGACGTGCCCAGCACCGTCCATTTCCTGATCCTAGTTGGGGTCCTGGAGGCTGAGGAAGGCTGCAGGGATCCTCTCTGGGCCTCAGACTCAAGGTGGCACCAGTTCTACAACTGGAACCCAACATGCCCTGCTAACCTACTGCTCATCTCTTGAGGGGCTGCGGCTGAGCAGGGAGGGAGGAAGGCACGGCCGACAACAACCCTGAACACGAGACCTGATACAGGAGCAGGCAGGAAAGCCTCCCAGGCAAGCAAGCGTCCGCAGCCTACACTCCGCAGTGTGGTGAGGCTCAGCCACACCCTCAGGGACCTGCTGTGGGGCTCAGGCTCAGCTCAGTGCTGGCACCACGGGTGCAGCCGTGGAGAGGACAAGGAGCCTCAGGGACCCCAGCAAGCGAGCGACAACACAAGAACACAAAAGTGAGAGCGTCTCCCGTGGTGGCCTGGTCAGGTCAGCCTGGGCCTGGAGGCCACAGAGCTCCGTGTCCCAGCCTGGAACACGGCGCCGCACACCTCACCCGTCCTTTGCACCGAAACTTGCAGCACGGTTGGGGAAGACTCTCCGCCAGCCCGGGGGCGGTACTCACTCCGGCCAGGGATTTCTGGATGTTCTCTCTGGCTCGCGCGATGTCCCGGAGGATCACGCTGGCGCCGTTCTCCTGCCGACAGTGCAAAAAGAACCATAGTCTTTTTTTTTTTTCCCACGGAAAAAAAAAGTAATTGAAAAGAAAAAGCCGCATCACGCAGACGGAGCGTGAAAAGGGAGGAGCAAAGACACGCCAGCGACAGTCAACAACGGGAGGCGCGGCTGTCAGGGAGACGCCAGCAGGTGCGCACCGTCAGCCAGCACACACTGAGGCCTTCCTCATCGCCCTACGGGCACCCAGAACTGCAAACCCAGGGCCGACCGCACCCAGGAGCCACCTTCCAATGACCGTACGGCCACCACCTCAAGCAAAGCCCCTGCCCTGTGGGTGCCTGGCAGATTCTCCCCTCCTGGGGCCCCGCCCGAGCCCGGCACAGCCATGCGTGGCAGGCGGCAGGCCTCACCTGGCCGGAGGAGCCGGCCACAGGCCCGTTCATCTGCTCGTAGAATTTCCGCTCTGCGTCATCATACTTGAACTTATCGAACCAGATCTTCTCGTGCACTAGGAAGTTTGTGGCCATTTTCCTGCTAGGAGGGGAGAAGAGGCTAAGTCAGTGAGACAGGGGAGGACAGGGACCCAGGCACCCCCGACCGCCCGGCCCCCCAGTCTGAGGCCCGCCCGGCACCCCCAGTCTGAGGCCTGCCCAGCCTGAGACCCCACAGGGCAGCCCAGCAGCACAGGATGCAGTGTGGGCCAGACACCCACCCGCCCAGACAGCCCCGCGCTGCCGGCCCTGCTGCTCACGGACCCACGGGAGGAACACAAGCACTCTCAGCAGGCCGCCCAAGCCTGAGGACCCCCACGCAAGTGCCCCCCAATTCTGAAGTGACAGTCGATGGCACGGCGGTTGCTGCCTGGAAAGAGGGACTTGAGTCACCTGATTGTAGGTATGGCCCCTGGGCAGGAGACCGGCCTGGACCACCAGCCTGCAGAAATGACCCCCACGGGCCCCTCGTGGCAGCGGGCAGCACCTGCCCCAGGCCTGGCCTCAAGGCCCCGACTCTCCAAGCGAGGCCCAAGGACCCCAAGCGTCTGCAGTCCCATCTCGCCCGAGTCTGCAGGGCCAGGCTTTTGCCACACTCACCAACCAGCCACACGCCAGCAGCTCAACATCCTAAACCGAGCCCTGTGCTCCCCGCGTTCCCTGCCTCACGGGAACACTACTTTCACAAGAGCGCGCCATCGTTAACGTGTAAGGAGCCCAAGTCACCACTTCTCAGCCAGTGAGGACCCTGAGCATCTGTGCTCATCGCTGATGTATCAGAATCTCCTTGGGGTCTAGGCAACCCCTGCTCTGGACCAGAGGTCTGCAAGCCCCCGCCTGTGCCCCTCCTCCCCCCAGGCACAGGTGCCTCTCAACTGCGTGTCTTCTCTACCACGTGGAGCTCCATGCCTGCTCCAGACTGCACCCTCGCTCTGCCAACTCTCCCCTGGCCACGCCAAGCATCCCCTAGTGACGAGGGCAGCCCCTCAGTGCTCCCCCACACCACCTCCGGAGGCCCACCACGACCAAGGGTTCAGCTCAACCCACACCCATACTGCTGCTGCCCGACCAAATCGGGTCCCCGCACCCAGGCCCACATCCTGTGCAACAACAAGTCTAGCACCACCAAGGCAGCCACTTCACTGGGCCAGTGCCACCTGCGAGGTGCCAGGCCTGAAGCCCGGGCAGCCGGGCCATGCGCACCGCCCCAGCAGGAAGCCAGACCTTGCCTTGCCAGCTCTGCACTCCATTTGCTCTGCTATCTGATCGTCCCTGCACACCAGCCTGGGGCTGGCTGTCTGGCGGCACCTTCTGTGGCCAGGCCCTGGCCACCTCCCCACGTGGCCTCCCTAGGCAAGGCCCTCTGTGTGTCAGACTCCAGGCTAGTCTCCCACTCCCGGTGAGGGTGCGGAGATGGGGTCTAGCTGCATGCTGAGTGTCTAAGACGCTCCCTACTCTCAGACGGGTTGTCAACTACCAAGGACCCACAGGGTCAGAGAAGGGGCAAGTGGGGGGGACGGGGACCGTGGACCTCCAGCATCACAACCCCCAGGGGAGTTGAGGGCCAGAAACAGTGCCAGCCCTCCTCCCCTGGCCCTGACAAGCAAGGGTGGGGGACTCGGGGGCTGCCCAGCTGCCGAGAGCCCCATATGGGCTGGGGGTTGCTGCCCTGTGCCAGCCCCTTGCCCCCACCTCCCCATAGCCCCAGCCTGCCCTTGCCCTGCCTGCTCCTGTGTTCCAGTGGCTGGATCCAGGGGTCTCGGGGGGGGGTCCCCAGGGTGGGCGGGGAGGGAGCCCGGGAAGGCATGGCGCATTTTCCTACTTGGGTCTCAGGCTGGACATGGATGGGCCGGACCTGGGAGTGGGCTGGTGGGCCGGGGAGGTGGCCTCGAGGCGCCAGGCCACGCGCAGGGCCTTGGCAGCATGGTGGCGGCACTCGGCGCTGTCATAGGCGGGCTTGCTGAGCCAGGGGGCCTCGGAGTCTTTGTGCAGGAAGTACCAGTACGGCAGGGCAGGGGGGACTTCCCCGTCCACCCGCCGTGGGCCCGCCCGCTTGGTCCCCAAGGCACTGCGGCCCCGCCGGTCCCTGCGGCCGCGCCGGGAAGCCTCGCTCTGGCCAGCTCGCTCCTGCAGGCGCACCTTCCCTGGTGGGTGGCCATCAAACAGGGCCTCATAGAAGCCCCGCTCGGCGGCGTCATACCGTGGCTTCTCTAGCCACACCTCCCGCACCAGTGCCTGCAGGCTGCCCAGGGCTGGCCGGCTGTTGGCCGGTGGGCCGGGCTGGCGGGCCAGGGCCAGATCAGGGGCTGCCGGCCTCTGGCCTGTGTCGGGGGCACCCTGCCTGCCGCACCCCTCTGTGGCCAGGAGCAGCGCCTGAGACCACTCCACGAAGGCCCGCTCGGCCTGGTCGAAGGAGGACTTGTTGACCCAGATGCCCCAGGTCACATGGTGGCAGGCCACCTGGCTTCCGTGGGTGCAGGGGCCCCGTGGGGCCAGGGCAGGCGGCGGGGTGGGCTGGGCAGCTGCGTCGGCCAGCCTCTGGCGGTAAGCGCTCTCCGCCCGGTCGAAAAGCAGCTTGTCCAGCCACACACGGTCGGCTGCAAGGCCCACGAGGGCCAGGTCGGCCTGGCCGAGCCAGCTCCGGGGGGAGCGCTTCCTCTTCTTCTGCAGCGGCCCGTTCCTGCCGCGGCTCTCCCCGGGGTCTGGCCTGCTGCGGGCGTCAGGTGTCTCTGCCGCGTCAGCGGCCCCCATCTCCTCCCGGCCAGGCCCGTTCATGGCGCCCGTGGCCAGGAGCTGCCGGCTGGAGGCGGCAGCCTGCGAGGCTGCGTGCTCGTAGAAGTGCCGCTCTGCCTCCTCATACTTGTGCTTGTCCTCCCAGACGGTCTCCAGGGTGCACGAGGCCTTGCTGCTCCTCATCTTCCAGGCACAGCCGTGAAAAACAAGCACAAGAAGGCAGTTGCAGCACAGTGGGGTAGCGCGGGCCCCGAGAGCGAGCCTCCTCAGTCTGCTCGGCAGGGGTGGGGGGGGGAGTGGGGGCCACCTCCCACTGGGGTGCCGTGAGAGACCACGGAAGGGCTGGAAAGTCAAACCCATGTGGGACATCGAGTAAAGCAGAAACACACAGTACACGTGTGCACACACACAAACATGTATTTTAGCTGCAAAGCTCGTCTTTACCGACCCAGCATGCACCCTGCTCTCCTACAGGGGCCAAGAGAGTGCTGGTGCCAAACGCGACCAGCCACAGGCACCCTCTTCTCACGGAATCTCCGAGCTCTGCCGGGTGCACTCAGGACGCGCTGGGTTAAGTTCGACTTCCGGATAAACAAGTAACCTTTCAGTCTGAGCACATCCCGTGAGATACCTGGGACACGCTTGTACTAAAAGATTATCCGTTGTTTACCTGGAAGTCACACGTAACTAGACACCTACGCCTCTTCTTTGTGTGCTCAGCCACCCCAGCTGTGTGGCGCTCCAGCCTCTGTGGCTGCCTTGCCCAGAAAGCCCAGCTGCCTGAGCGGCTCAGAGAAGGTGCTTTCCAAGGGAGCTGTGAGGGGCCTGCAAGAGGGGGCAGCCTGCAGGCACGCCTACCTGTCCCCACCCCAGGGCCAAGGCAGAGACCCACTCCACAGGTCCTGACCCCAAAGGCAGGTGGCTTTGGGTGGGCAAGGGATGCTTGCAGCTGCCTCTGCCCACATCAGCATCTACCTGAACTGAAGAAGGACCATGGTGGGGGCATGAGGACCACGGGGGGGGGGGGCCACAGGGACCACGGGGGCATCATTGTTTGGGTGCCACACCAGGTGGAGAGGCAGGTGTGGCTCTGCCGACCTGCTGCTGTGGCCGTGGACAAGCCTCTGGCCCTGGAGCCTCACCCTCCCCCTGGGCAGAAGGGGCTGGACGCCTGTTCCCTCCAGCTCTGAATGACTCCTGTCTCTTACCCCGTCCCAAATCGTGGGCCGCTGGGCCCGACAGTGAGCACAACACCCACAGGGAAAACGGCCCTGGCCCCTGCTGCTTCCCCCACGCCTGCAGCTGACACCCGGGGGTGCTGCACCCTGCTCCCAGGCCCAGGAGCTGCCTCAGAAGCCCCCAGATACTGCTCCCCACTCAGCAGTGATTCGGGGCCCCTGGGTGCCCCACCCTCTGGCTGCTCTAAGCTGCAACAGAGCCCGAGCAGATGATCAGCCAGCTAAGTCACTTCCCAAACCCAGGAGCTGCCCTTACTGCTGCCCCCAAAGGAGAACAGGCTGCGAGGTCAGGGCACCCAGGCAACTGGAGCCGAGGTGGTCCTCAAGGTGACTCAGGATGGCTCTGCCCATGTCCCTCCCTGTGGCATCCCGCACAGCCAGGGGAAAGAAAGGACCCCAGGGAGGGCCCCCTCAGATGGTACTGACTGCTGGCTCTGCCCTTTCCGACCACCCAAAAAACGGGCTCCAACTCCCCCATGGGACTTCTTAATCATCACACCCCACACGAGGTCTAGAAAGGGTCCCTGGCCCCCCATTCCCACTCGCAGCAGCCCCCTGCTCACCAAGGTCAGGTGCCTGGGGCAGAGGCAGTGGGGGAGACGGGAGCAGAGCCCAGGGGGACAGCCATTGTGACATCACCCACCAGCCAGGGGGCCCCGGAGCCTGCTGGGGGCTGCAGCTGACCTGCCCCCGGGCTCCTCTGCCTCCAGCCCCTCAGAGGGACCCGAAGCAGGCTCCCAGCTCTCGTAGCCCTGGTCCCTCCAGCACCCCCATGGGCTGCAGTGGGGCCCTCACCCCCACACTGGGCCTAGAGGCTCACTCGCCTGGAGCTCCCAGCCTCCCTGAAAAGAGCTGCTCTGCAGGGTGGCAGCTCAGGCAGGAGCTGCTTCAACACACCAGCCAATGGCAAGACAGGGCTGCAAGACCCCCACCCCTCCTGGGGCCCCTCCTCCACGCCCTGCGCCACATCCCCTGCAGGGAGCAGAGTGCCGTCCTGAGATCGTCCTGAGATCCGCCTGGCCCTGCACCGGAGCAGAAACGCCCAGCCCACCGGGGGCATCACGGCTGGCTCCCCACCTGCCCAGGGAGCAGAGCCCACACAGCCACAGGTGTCAGAGCTGAGGAACCCCGGCCAGTTCAACCCGTGTTCTATAGACGAGGAGACTGAGGCCCGAGAAGCAGAGGTCCGGCACCTGGCTGACCTGAGCGCCTGCCCGTCTGTGACGGCAGGGGTGAGTGAGTTGGGGTCCCTTGTTTCAAGCCAATGGAAACCCGGGGCGCGGGGACAGGTGGGTACTTACTTTGGCTGTACGCTCCTAGGACAGCATGAAGGAAAAGCAGCAAGGTTAGAGGCAGTCAAAAAGGCTGCGCTGGTCAGACTCCAACGCGAAGGCAGCGCGCGGTTGGCACAGGCTCCTGCGGGCGAGCTCTGGAAGCCAGAGCGAGCAGGTGCGCCCACCGCCACCAATCCACACGGAGCGAGCCGCTCGTAGGCCAGGCATGGCCACTACCTGAGGCACCCTCTGTCCCACCCCCACGGGGCACCGGGAGCTGCTGGGGGGACACTCAGCCCACTGGCCAGGCTGGCAAGTCCCTGCAGGCCAAACCATAGGCCCAGTGTCGGACAACAAAAGGTTCCAAGAGTCACCAAGTCTTCCCTCCCCGAGTCCACACAGAAGACAGGAATGTTTATCCTATTTACAGATGAAAATGGGCTGGATGTACACACCCCTGCCCCAGATCCACAGAGTGGCAGCCCAGGGAGCTGAGGCCACCAGACCAACCCACACATCCTGGAAAGGCCAGACTGACAGCCCCCCAGATCAGGCCACCCCAAGCCTGCCCAGCACCGGAGAGCCCCAGGGACCCACCTTCCCACCCCATCATCAACAGGAGCTGTCACCCAGGCCCTGCCTCCTCCACCCACCCCATGCTGCAGCAGGCACCCAGGCTCGGGTGGAAACACAGACGCTGGCACGGGGGGGAGGCCGGCACCCGCGGAGGAGCCCAGGAGGACCCCCGCCAAGGGGCTCTCGGGAGCGGAGGCTGCAGGGGGTGTGCGCAGGTGAGGCTCTCCGTGGAGTGGGGCCACGCACTCCACAGCAGCTGCCACACCGAGAGCGCTGTCTCGTCCAGTAAAGTAGGTCTGAATCTGCACAACCCCTTCGGAGCCGCCAATGTCCAAGTTCAGAGCTCCCAACCCTACCAGCAGTCAGGCCTGTGCGGCAGGGCGAAGAAGAGCAGGACACAGGAAGAGAGCACTCTGGAAGCAGCGGCACGAGGACCCAGAAAGACAATGGCCATCCCCACCCCGCCACATGCCAACACTTTTCCTGAGGGGCCGCTAAGGACACAGCCTCTTCTGGCTGCCAGGAGCTGGGGCTCCCATGCCTCCTCCCAAGGGTCAAGCCTGTGGCCCAGGCGGTGGAGAGCCCAGGAGAGTCCTCACTTCTGGCTAGAGTTGGCAGATATGCACCTTTGCGCCTCTCCTGGCGCCCAGCCAGCCCAGCACCCGGTACAGTCTGTGCTCAGATGGGACTTGCAGAAGGAAGGTGTTCGTTGGCTGCAGTTAGGCAGATGTAGGATTCCAGGTGTGTGCAAGCAACAAGGCACTCTGTGGCCACTGGAATCGGGGGGCATCTTCTGGTGCCAGTGTGGGGACCTGGTAGCAGCCTGCTGAGGACACTCCTGGCTGCAGGGCTTCAATTCCATGTCATGAGGGCTGGGCCACCCACAGCAGAAGGGTGTTGGAGGGTCCAACCAGGTTTCCAGGATGATCAGCCTCTCTGCCCTTACACCACCTGTCATCGCCCAGACACGCCACCCCACTGCAGCCATGCACACGATGGGTTTGCTCCCAGATTGTCCACCCAGGGTCAGGTCTATGGGCTCGGCCTGTGACCCCACCCCCGCTGCCAGCAGCAGCTCTCTCCCAGTTCTCTGGGCTGACCTGAGCGGCTGCTGTGTGGCCGGGCCAATCAGCACCACTCAGCAGAACTTTCTAGAGGTCATGTCCAAAGCAGCAGCCACCAGCACTTGGAACGTGGCCAATGGCTGAGCAAGTGGCTTTGCAACTGTAATCAGTTAGAGCAGCGTAGTTGTGCCCGTGAGTGCCCTCCTTGTCCTCTCAGGGGAAGCTCCACGGCCTCCCCGGCAGCTCTCCTGCCCTGACTCCTGTCCGGGAGGTGCACCCTGACATTCCAGCCACCGCTCCACTCCTCCCAGGCCCAACAGACACCTGCCTCACAGCAGTTCTATTTTTGGCCCAGCTGGGGCACCCCACCCCACCCCACCACTCCCTCCCCTGCTCTGGCTTCCTCTACCTGCTCACTCACATCACCTCCTGGCCTCACACGCAGCTGCAAGACAGCAAGGAAAACTGAGGCCTGTGGCCGCCCACATCCTATCCAAGTGTCATCCTCACACACCGGCACAGGGCCCAGTCAACACTCAGCATCAGGACTCCAGCACGCAGCCCCCCGGAACCTAGAGCCAGTGACTGGCACACCAGAGGGGTTCTTTCCATCCATCCTTTTCCAAATGGTAACCTCCCTCAAGAAATCTTTGTTCATGAAGACCTTCGTCCAGCATACGTGCACACTGGGCACTGAACTCCACAGCTGGACCTGGCACTCCAGGAGCGAAGCCAGGGGGCCTCCTTGGGGTCAGGCTCAACCAAGGGCAGCCGGCCTGGCTCAGGGCAGGAAGCCAGGCCATGTCATCTAGGGCACCGACCTCACTTGGGTGCCTCTCTGCATCGATGTGGGGACACACGCCATGAGCCCTGCAGGCTTGCGCTCAGAGGAACCTCCAGGGGATGAGACCATCCTGCACTCTAAGGAAGCAGAGCCCCAGGCCTTCAGGGCACAGCCTGGACGAGCTCCTGCCCAGCCTCCTCACAGGACTGGCATAGGGCCCAGGCACTGCCACCCCTCCAGAGGCTGCCAGCAGACCGTGGTTCCAAATGTCTGTGCTAGCACGATGTGGAGGAGAGAGCGGTTCCTGGGGACACTTTCCCCCGCACATCAAAAGCCCATCCAGGAGTGTGCACCCCACACCTAGCTCAAGCTTGGCATACAAAAGGGATGCAGAATGGAGCATGTTTAACAGCCCAGCCACAGGCTCAAACCCTGGGTCGGAACCAGCGGCCTTGCTGTAAGGTGACAGTCGGCTGGGTCAGTCCTCCCCTGGCCCCTCCCCCTGCCAGGCTGGGCGTCCCCCCAGATTGAGTGACTTGCCCTGTCTCTTTGACACCACTTCCCCATCAGGAAATGACCCCCCCCCCCCACAAAGCTGTGGACACAAATAGCTTTTGCTTCGGGGTGGCCCTTCATTCTGGAGGCACTGCCGTTCCACCTCCTGCTGGGTCCCTACCCCCACCCCACCGCTCCAGCACAAGCCTTCCCCGTCTTCCGCCCAGGGCCTGTGACAGCATCACTCTTTTCAGACACTGGCTTCAGTCATCTGCTCAGAAATCACCCGGATCTCCCACCCAGAGAACCCTGCGGTGTGACCCACTCAGCACACCATATCCTTCACGTTCTTTTACGTGTTCGTGGGCCACGTAAGTTCCACGAAGGCCTGGCCTGCAGGTCCCTAAAAAGCAGGTGATGGACAAATGGAAGGACCACGGACCGAGCAATAGCTGGGTGGATGTTCCTGTCACCCAGGGTTAAGTCTGAGGCCGCGGAGCCGGCACAGAAGCCGGGCCTCCGAAGGGGGCTCCCACATTCCCCCGGCCCGGGCCCGTCCGCCACAGGAGCCCGCGCCACGTGGGCGCGCCGCGGGCCCCGCCCCTCTACGCCCGCGCCGGCAGCTGCACTTGGCCCACGGCCCCTGGGCCCGGCAAGCCGTCGACACTTGCGCCCCGGTCCCTAACGGCGCTGGAGCCCGGGCCGCCCGCCCTCCCGGCCCTCAGGCCTGTCGGGCGCACGCGGCTCCTTCCGGCGGGGCCGCGGTACTCACACGCCAGACAAGGACGCGGCGACCACGGAGGAAGCTCGCGGGTGCGGCGGGCAAAGGGCGCTGAGGAAAGGGAGGGCCACCCCGGCCGCGCACGGGAAATGAAGGTCTGGGGCCTACCACCCGTCGCGAGCGGGGAACGCGGGGGGGAACGCCCGCACGCACACCCCGCCTCGCCGTCAGGCCGTTCGGCGCGAGGCTCCCCACGACAGCACAGGCAGAGTCCAGTCTCAGAAGGCCACGGAGCTCGCGCTCTCCTGGAAGAGCCGGAGAGATCCGCCAGGGACCGGGCTGCAGCCCGCCCGACGCCCCTGCGCCGCGCACCCAGTCGACTCGCCGGCCCGGGGCTGGGCGGGGCCGATG